TACAGATCATTAATTATGTTCTCTTTTAGGAAGCAAGTAGGGTGGGTGATACATTCTAAAATATGGGTGCAGAGGGCAGTTCAGGAGTATATACTCTTGCTCTAGAACCTGAGAAAACAGAATGAAACAAAATGAACCAGACTCTTACTGAAACGTGGATGACGGCAGTGTGGAGGTCACGTCTTATGTTCTAAGACAGTGTATGTATCAGATTGTCCTCTTAATTTTAAATTATACTTTCTTCACTTACTTTTAAATTTATTTTCACATTTTGGTCTGACATTGTCGAAAGCCTAGAATTGAATCACCACCAGAGAGGCAGTATCTCATAGTGGTTGACGAGGGAGATTCTAGACCCAAATTGCTGGGTTCAAATATTTGCTCTGTCATTTATTACCCATGTTGGTTTAGAGCAAGTGACTTATACTTTCTTTGCTGGAGGTTATTCATTTGTAAAATAGAAATGATAGTAGCTAGTACTATTATTAGTAGAATACTATAATTACAGTGAGGAATAAATCATAAAAGCAAAACACTAATAGGACTTTTAGCAAAGGCTGGCTGCTAATCTGAGCATTTTGTATATATCATCTCATTAATTCCTTACAAAAAGCCCACAAATTATGTATTATTACCCTATTTGCAGATAAAGCAATCATGGTTCAGAGATGTTGAGTGACTTGCCAAGTGAAGCAGAAAGTATTTGGCAGACGCACTACTTGAACTCAAACAGGGGGTGCATTGTCTGTCTTGCACCCAGTTTATTTCTTGATTCTGTCATGGGTGGTTTTATTTTAAGCTACTAAGTAGATGAGCTCATACATGTAAATGTTCAGAACAGAGTCTGGCATGAGTAAGTGTCAGTAGGCACTAGCTGTTATGACTACTATTTCTACAACTTAATAGGTGTGGAAGAAAGAACAAAGTGCCTCATATACATACAACACTTTATGTGTATACAGAAACAATCTCTTCTGTTGTTGTTGTTGTTGTTGTTGTGAGAAAAGTCTTACTACTAGTAACGTTCTCTGTTGTTGTTGTTGTTGTTGTTTTGTGGTTAATTGTCTAGCTTTATGTGGTAGGTTATGAACTCCATAAGAAAAGAATGTTTGTCCCCTTGTTTCTGTTTTTTACCCAGTAACTAGCAAAGAGCTAGACACATTACAGGTAATCAGTAAATATGTAAGATAAACAAAGGTGGACACAATAAAAATGAGAAGAAAGGAATGTTTTTTGTTTTTGTTTTTGTTTTTACCTTATTCACTTGCACTGTCTCTGACAAAAACATTGAAATAAGAAGGACATATTGCATTATTTTTCTAAAACCATTAGCAAGGTTCCAATCAGTCCCTCGGCGTAAAGAATGTGTGCATGAAAGAATCATAAACAGGGGCTTTCAGGCCCACTTAATGGTACCATTGCTTTTCTCCCTGAGTCTCCCACCTGCTTTGTCTCAAGAGTAGCTAAGAAGGCAAATAGGTTTCCTAGAGTTACAACCGAGATGCAGGGCAACTCCAGAACACTGTGTTATACCTGCCAGGAGATTTCCTGGTTTGGGAGGACAGATATTTGAATCAAGAGATGAAGATTTTTTTCTCCAAAAAGAAAAGATATCTATATTACTATATTGTGCAGAATGTGCTACCCACTTACTTACCCTCACACAGAATTTATATGTCTTGTTCCTCCTCCATGAGATAACACTACCAAATAAGTTTCTCCCCTTGATATTCTCAGCAAGAATAAGCTATACGAGAGTACTGCTATGCTTCTTTTAATATCTGAAATTAGACACTAGCCTTCAAAATCTTGGAATACAGGAATATAAGACAAAGGACTGTAAGGAGGGAATGTAGAGCAGAGAGAGGAAAGCAATGATTTCTTAGTGGAAATTATTTTCTTACACATAGACCTTTGCAGAGATGAACACAAGAAAGGAGATATAAAGCATTCTTAAATGTCAATCTTTTTTTTTTTTTTTTGGAAAGAGGTAGTTTCTTGGTACTAATTTTTACCTAAAAAATGTGTTTAGTATTAGATTTATAGATTGCTGGGGATTCTATCTCCTTTGGATGTTGCTATCATTTTTATCATGTAGGTTTTTATCACATATGTATATTTGAATTAGTACTGAGTGGGTGTTATATAATAGGTCATGCATGAGCCATGGTTCTAAGCCCCAGAGATGTCACTGTCCTGGTATATAATGCAGAAACCATAGTGTGATTTTTCAGTGAAGATGATTAACTTACATACATTACCTTCTGTTTAACAAAAATAATTACTTGTTTTCTTTAAGTTTGTTTATTTAATCTCTGCACCCAAGGTGGGGCTCAAACTCACGACCCCGACGGCAAGAGTTGCATGATCTTCTGATTGAGCCAGTCATGCACCCAAATAGTTACTTGTTTTCATTCAGCTCACCTAATTATATTTTAACAAGTCAGTATAACATAATAATATAGTAATGTTTACGTGAATACAGCGTACAGAATTGTTCATTATTCCTGATAGCTATATGCTTGGAGTTTTAGTAAAAAGATTGCTATTTTTGTCATAGTGAAGTTTTAATTTAGATATAAATATTTAATTCCAAGGGGAAATTTAGTGGACTCATGGGAAGAAAAGGGATGAATGCTGGGGAAGAACCTCATTTCTGTGGTTACAGTAAGGGAACGGTAGATTAAAATGTTGTAAACAAAAACGTATAATGATTAGACTTTTTACCTGTAACTCAAGTCTGTCTACTAAACCAGATGAAATTCGTATTGCCTTTTATAATGGACTAGTCTCTCATCTTAAAATATTTAGTAAGACAATAATTATTTTAATATACTTACATAGTCCTGAAATTACACAGTGTTAATGGTTATGCTTTTTTATGCTATATTTCACAGAAATTTAGGTTTAGCAAAGCAAATAAAAGCATATATTGTCATCAACTTTTAAAAATCTAAACATTAATTGTATATGTTATTTTATAAAAATATTAAAACAGTCTGAATTAAAATTCAACCAATGTATTTTTATGGTGTTTTGAACTGCAAGTTACTTTATAGGCTTTTGCTGTTTCTTACATTCATATTAATTTTATTGGATTTAAAACCGCCTTTTGAAATGCATGAGTCACATGTAATTAATTCTACCACCTTGAAATAGAATCTGTGTCTGCTTTTAAGAACCCTGTACTTTGTGCAGTATCTTTACTGGATGTAATTGCATGTAGTCCTTCCTTAGTCCATGACCTATACTGTAAACAGAATTCAAACACATTGCTCAAGAGGAAAGATGGAATTAACTTAAAATACATTAGATATTTTCAAAAGATGGATGACTGCAGCATAGAAATAGCTATGGAAAAAGCACTATAGATGTATTTTTTTTTGAAATGTATAGATAACATTTTTGATTTGTGGCACAAAGAAAGGAGTTGTAGTAAGAAAGAGAATGAAATTAACTATAGTGGTTTTGGTACAACCAAGTCTCACTTTACAGAATAAACATATTCTTCAAAAAGTGGAAAATTAATTTAAAAAATCAAATCTTAGTTTATGTGTGTGTGTGTGTGTGTGTGTTAAAAGAAAGCGTGCACGCACGCAGTGTGTTTGTGTGTGTGTGTGTGTGTGTGCACTTCTTTACTCAGTGCTTTGTATCTAGTAGGATGTGGTACAAATCAGCTTTAGGAAAAAGTCTATAAAGTCCTTCTATGTATCTCCGAGTCACAAATCTCAAATCCTCATCTTGAAAGAGCTTTTATATTGCTTATATATAAAAACACTTGTGTATTTACATTGACTTAGAAGTGACATACCACCTAGATCGCGAGGATGGTATTGGGAGAGATTTTCATAGAATTTTTTTACCTGGATTAAAAGCTCCATGAGGGCAGGTGTTGTTCTGTTTTGATCACTGAGATGTCCCAAACCTCTAGAACATTACAGCCTGCATAGTGAGCACTCAGAAATACTTGATGAATGAATGGATGGACAGTTTGTAAATGATCACCTTGCTTATGTTTTAGATCATAAAAATGAAAATCTAGGCAGCTGTAAATTACTTGTCTGATGCAGTGGTGGCAAAAGCTCAATATGCAGGTTCTGAAGGCCATATCCTTCAATAAATTATTTCACTGTTAAATGCTAAATTAGTGATAAAAGTAAACATCTAACCAAAGTTAGATATTCTAAATGAGAATTTCCAGGCAAACATCTTATATTCTTATATTTTATGTACCTCCCTACATAAGCCATTCTATAATTTATAGGGCATTTCCACGTGAGGTAAATAAACAAGCTAATATCATTTATTATGAAAAGTTATTTACCCACTCAATAAATACCTAGTAAATGCTTTTTTTCCAGCAGTGTGCTAAGTAGTGAGGATATAATTATATACATATGACTGTCATGTTCCCTGTCCCACGGACATTTCCTTTGGTGACAGAAACAAACAAAACCAAGTAAACACATATATATGCAAAATAAATTTGCCTTGTGATAAGCGTTTTGAACAAAATAAATGGAGACTGGGAGTTTGGGGATTGAATAAATTTGTAGGGGAGGCAAGTTTGATGAGATGACATTTCAGCTGGGACCTGAAAGTTGCAAATTCAACTTAAAAAGGAACTTCCTCATTTGGGTAGGGTCTCCTACCCAAATCTCCATAGGTAGACTTATATTCCACTGGGAGATGGAGAGGGGAGGAGCGTCTACACCTTGGACGTACAGCAATTGGTAGAGTTGGAAATTATTGTGTCAAATAGTTAATGTCCATTTACCAAAGTGGAAACATTCCTATCCTGTCAAGTAGTTATGATGAAACACTTGTATTTTTTTTCATATTGTCCAGTCAATATGTGGGATGTTAAAATAAATGCTTAATATAAAACAAAGAAATAGAATTTTGGTAATACCCAAACAAATGCAGTATAGTTTTAGAGATTAAGTTTGACTCTATTTCTATTTTTTATTTGATTTCTTTATTTTATGCATGTTTCCCAGGATAGTCCACTGGTCTTACAGTCTGACAGGAATGTAACAGTGAATGCAAGAAATCACATGGGGCAGTTAACTGGACAGCTGACAGTAGGTGAGTGCTTTGGGGGTAAAGATTGCTCATACCATCTTACTCCACTTGAAGCTTTGTGATTGTTTAAATTGGGGAAAGCGAAAGTCTATTATTTCTCTAATATAAAACTAGACATCCTTTTTCAGCCCAACTATCTTGCATAAGATTTGATTTTTCACAAGCTAATTATAGTCTCCTCTATTTGGTAGTTCTTACTCTTGTCAATGTGTTACTATGAGAAAATACAATCACATGTATTTTGTTGTTATTACTCTTGAATTATGAAATGCACCATTTTTCTAACAAATACCTCCCTAGTGTACGTTAAGTTATAGTAAACAGAATAAAACACATGAGACATAACATCATGTGGTCTACGTATCCTTTGTGTTAGGTGAATAATTTCCTGAGAGATATTATCTGCTAATGTAAATTAGAAATGACATATTAGTTGAATATAATAAATCTTAACATTTATCAATTACTTATAAATATGGTGTTGAGAGTATTTACATTTTAAGATTTATGGGCTTTAGAAGTTATAAATATAAGTTAATGATAAAATATTGTTTTCTCATATTGTCAAAAAAGTAGTGATTCATATTACCTGGCATTATTATTTGAGTCAATTTTTATAAGAAAACAGGCAAATAAAAAGTCAGTTGTAATTGTGTAAAATAATAAAAAGATTTGATTGTGTGGAACTGTCAAAATATCTTTCGAATGCTGTACTTTTTTGTGGGGAAATTACCTAATATTGATAATATATGTGTATATATAAAAGTATAAGTAGTAAATTATAATCTCAAGGAATGAGTTGTCCTTATCTTAATGAAAAATTAATGAGCACCTTAATATAAAAGTATATTTCCAGTAGTTCTTTTTAAATTACACAGGAATATGGCATTTGAAGTGTGAGATTTATAAACATGAATTTGATTGCGTGTACTTCTTTGGTAGGTATATGAAACACTTTTTGATATGCTATTTGCTTTAATGAAACCAAAAATGCAATTTATATTTTAGCATATATGTATTTCCAAAAAATATAATTGCACTTTATTTATAAGAATTCAATTTTATTTTGCATAACATTCACATCCTAAAAGTTGGTCACTAGACATCATCAGTTGAATACTGGAGGTTAAAAGTAAAAGGAGGATAAACTGAAAAGTTGAACAAGAAGTAATATTAATGGGCAGAGCTGGTTTTGTTTTACATGTTTTTCTTCAGTGGTCTCCCTCATTTAAATTTCAGTCATAAGTGATCATGTTTAGGAAACCCAGAATAGCTGCTATATGGTCCTGTGGCTAAGCATGATAAGAAGGTCCGTAATTTCACGTCTATAGCATTATCTCAGTAAAACATTAATACTAATTGGATATTAAATAATTGAAATGTCATTGTTCTAAATATTTACTTTTAAAATCTGCTTAGAGTCACAATCTTATGCTTCATCTAAGGTCTCATATATCATCATAATTCTCCTTATTTAGTGCTCGGTAAATTTTGGAGAATAAATTCACTCCCAGGAACTGGTAACTTTTATTGTCAGAATCATTGACTCATCTTGGATATTTTCATTTCTATTTATCAAGAATCAGTGACATATCCAAATTATATAGAAACCTTAATTACAATCTGTAATTTCTCATTTTTCTGTCTTTCTTCATTACTTCTTCAAACCTGCGAGTCATGGCTGCCTTAAATAAGTCTTACTATATGGTAATAAGACAGTGTGTCATTTGCTAGAAAGTAAACAAAATGATATTAACACTTGGTACTAGTTTGCTTTTCATAATTCACATTTTGAGGATTAAACACCACATAAAATAAAAAACTATTAGAGACAGCTTCTGCAGCAGAGTTGACTTTTTGGTTTCTTCTGAGGTCTGAGGTACTTGCCTTCATTGCCCAAGGGGATTTACAAGACAGCCAGGCAGGAAGTGGGAGTATTGAGTGGTAGGTGTGCATCATTCCTGGTTCTGTGCCTTTTCTAGTGGCTGTCAATTAGCTGTATACACTTAAAATCAAATTTGCTTTATTTATGATAAGAGAAGATATGTTTGATGGGAACAACTAGGCACTAAGATTCTGTAAGGAGAATATTTTTTCTTTGATTTGTTTTCTCAGGATTTTGAGTCAATATACACTGATAATAAAGTCCATATGATGAAACAACCATTTTTAAAATATCATAAGTTTATAAAGAGATAAAAAATTAAAATGTACATATATACAAAATTAAATAAAAAATTAGTACTTTCTTTATCCATATGGAAACTGTTTGTATCCTGTATAATGATTAATTAAACCACATTACCTTCCTGGTAGTAAAGGTGTAAAGAGAAATGTGACTAATGACATGATCCTACTATGTTTAAGGAGAAACATTGGCACTTTTTATGGAAAACCAGGGTTTTTTTTCTCATATACACTGAACAAAATGTACACATTGTTTAATAGAAAGAAAACTGGATGATACAGTGTACAGTGTTAGAAGCATTGGCCTGCCAATGGTGCTTTAAGGAATGCTCAGAGCGGGACCACAAAGTGCTGTTAGATAAAATAATTGTGGAAGCAAGAAACAGAACATGTTTACCAGTTCAACTTAATTCAGGGATAAAAATTTAGGCTTCTCTGCCTGTTAAATATTCCTTATGATAGATACTTTCACCTGGGACCTGGGCTTGTCATTGGTCAGATGAAGTGAGGACCCAAAATGTTAATGTTTGTGGCTGAGTCTTTTCAGTTCAGAAGTGAAGTGAACTGATGATAAAATTGATATCCTTTAGTAAAAACTGAAAACCCTAAGACTCTGAACTGTGTTGATGCCCCTCTGCCCACCTCAGTATATTTCCAACATCCAAGACAGGCAGGCACGCGTGCACGCGCGCACACACACACACAGCACACGGGCTGCCCCATAGAATTGGTGTAAGGAAAATATTGGGAAAGAAAGCCAGCATAACACTTAAATAAACATTTTGAGTCTGCTACTACACACCGAAGGATTGTTTGAGACAGCAGTATTTTATTCAATGCAACATGCTACAAGGTAATTTGAGTCTAGAAGCTTTTCTAAAAATATTTACTAGTCACCTATCATGGCAAAATAAACCTTCAGTAAATGCAAGCAGTGAATAAAATCACATAATTTCTAAAATTAATCACATAATTTTAATAATAACTATGTTACTATTAAGAATTTATTATACAATAATGTTTATTAGATTGATTAAGCCATGAGCATTTTTTAATGTTCCACACACTTAAGTTAATCTGTATATCCAAAGATTTCACAATGCCTGTCACAAAACACTCTTGCTAGAAAGGCACTTTGAGTATGACTAATTATTAAGAGATGTTATAGAAAACCAAAAAACATCAGAACATAAATTCAGTGAAAATTATTTTCAAAAGACAGGAATATGTGGATTTTTCACTAATAATAATATTATGAGTGTAATCATGTAATTTATATATCAAAATGTTCTAGAAGAATATATTCACCTAGAAATCATACTTTAGTCAGAAAGTAGTGTTAGAAAGGAATTATATTTTAATAGTTAAGAGCATGGATTCTGGAGCCAATTAAATCCCAGATCTGTCACTTCCCAGCACTGTGACCAGGTTACTCAGGGCATCCTCCATACTCCAAGCTTCCATGTGGATAACATGAGTGTCCATCTACTACAGTAGATGTGAAAATTGAGTAAGTGAACAGATGTGAAGTACTTGGACCACTTCATGTATATGTTAGTTATTGTAATTTTTATTTGATCTGTACATAAATAATTCTGTACAATTGGTCAAACCTCTTGGTTTTACTTAACTATGAAATGAGTATTATGCTAGATTATCTCCATGGTTGTTTCCTGAATGTAAAATCTGTTTTTACCTTTAGAGAGGAAATTAGTTAATGAATCCTCTGACCCATTAAATTCCCCACTGTTCACTAGTCCTGACAAAATCATATCTGATTTGATTTTTTGACATCTTAGCCACAAATTATAAGTACATATCTTTCACTTAAAATAAAGAATATAAATAAGCACAACTAGATCAGCATTATTGTTTTTATTCTTTCACTAAATTTTGACTTACTAAAAAACTATTTTTAATTCAACATGTAAAATCAGTTTTTTTTTATTTTGTCAAAACTAAACATCAGCATGTTTTGTCCCTCAATGAATGGAGAAAAATGTAGATGAGGGTTTTATAATAAATATTTAATGACCCCTAAAGTGACATGTAATCTTGCATTAAAGCAATTACCGTGAACACCTGGGAATCGCTTAATTGACTGCAGATGGTGTAGGACATATACAAAGTAGAAGGTTACAGATTATTCTCACGTACCAAATTTATGTTTTTTGTCATTGACTCATTTTTTTTAACTTAAAGAATGCTGTAATAATCTGAGACAACTTAATAAGAATGAATATTTTATGTAAAATAGGCTGTACAAATCTGGGAGAATAGATCAACGAAACACTTAGGTTAAGTATGGGACACACATTTTAAATGATCAAATGCATTGTTGATGTTTCAGAGCTCATTGTTAATATTAATTAATTAAACTAATATTAATTAATCAATTTGAGAAAATAATACATTGAAGCAGATGACTGTGATATTAGGAGAAGGCTGGCATTCATAAAAATTAGGACCCTTAATCGGTGTTAACTCAGGTGTAACAAGAATTACAGTGTCTGAAGAAAAAAAAATAGTGTGCATGTTTTGAAAAGTTTTATCATAGGAGTATTTCATTTTTTAAAAAAGATTTATTTATTTGAGAGAGAGTGCTTGAGGATGGGGTAGGGGGCAAGAGAAGGAGAGGTGGAAAGAATCTTGAGCAGACTCCCCACTGAGCGGGGAGCCCAGTGCCGGGCTCCATCTCATAACCCCAAGATCATGACCTGAGCCCAAATCAAGAATTGGATGCTTAAAGGACTGAGCCACAAAGGCACCCCTCACAGGAGTATTTCATATCATTGTTTGAACATCCTGAATCATTA